CCTCCTACTTCGACTACTTGCACAGAGAGCCTCCTAGCGTACATACGGCTAAGCTTCTACAGGTCGAGCGCCGGTCTCTTGTACGTACAGAGAGCCTCCTACTGTTACAGAGGGCCTCCTGTTTGTCTAGGGGGCCTCCTATTGGTTAACGGCGCCTCCTATTTGTCCAAGCGGCCTCCTATTCGTCTATGGGACCTCCTATTTGTCCAGGAGGCCTCCTGTTTCTCCAGAAGGTCCCCTATTTATCCAGGGGGCTTCTATTTTCCAGGGGGCCTCCTCTTTATCTAGGGGGCCTCCTACGTGTTCAGGGGCCTCCTATTTGTCCAGGGGCCTCCTATTTATCCAGGGGTCTTTTATTCGACTAGGAGTCTCATATTTGTGCAGGGGCCTCCTATTTGTCCAAGGGTCTCCTACTTGTCCCGGGGCCTCCTTTTTTTTGAAGGGACTCCTTTTTGTTAAGGGAGCCTTCTATTTGTCCAGGGGGCCTCCTATTCGTACAGAGAGCCTCTAGCTCCTACTTGTCCATGGAGCCTCCTATTTGTTCAAGAGGTCCCCTATTTGTCCAGGGGGCCTCCTATTTGTCCAAGGGACCTGTTATTTTTCTAGGGGGCCTCTTTGCCCAAGAGGCCTCCTATTTGTCCAGCGTGCCTCCTACATGTTCAGGGGGCCTCCTATTTGTCCAAGGGGCCTCCTATTGGTTAAAGTAGCCTCTTATTTTCCTAGCGGCCTCCTATTTATCCAGAGGGCTCCTATTTTTAGGGGGCCTCCTCTTTATCCAGGGGGCCTCCTTGTTCAGGGGGCCTCTTAATTGTCCAGGGGCCTCCTTTTGTGAAAGGGGCCTCCTATTTGTCCAGGGGGCCTCCTTTTGTGAAAGGGGCCTCCTTTTTGTCTAGGTCTAGGACCTTCTATTTGTCCAGGGGGCCTCCTATTTTTGCAGGGGCCTCCTATTTGTACAGAGGGCCTCCTACTTGTCCATGGGGCCTCCTATTTGTCCAGGGGCCTCCTTTTGTGAAAGGGGCCTCCTGTTTGTCTAGGTCTAGGACCTCCTATTTGTCCAGGGGGCCTCCTATTTTTGCAGGGGGGCCTCTTATTTGTACAGAGGGCCTCCTACTTGTCCATGGGGCTTACTATTTGTCTAGGGGCCTCTTATTTGTCTAGGGCCTCCTATTTGTCCAGGAGGCCTCCTACTTGTCCAGAGAGCCTCCTATTTCTCCAGGGGACTTCCTGTTTTCCGGGGGCCTCCTACTTGTTCAGGGGGCCTCCTACTTGTTCAGGGGGCCTCTTACTTGTTCAGGGGGCCTCCTACTTGTTCAGGGGGCCTCCTATTTGTCCAACAGGGCCTCCGATTTGTCCAAGGGGCCTCCTATTTAAACAGAGAACCTTTTATATGAATATCGGACCTCCGTTTGCAAAGTAGCTGATGCGTCTCGGGGGCCTCCACTATTGGGGTCCCAAAATGACAATTGGGGTCCCAAATGTTCGCATTGGGGTCCCACATGGGACCTCGAAAGTATACAAAGTTACACCCATGCGGCAGCGCCCCGTCGGAAGGGACGGGCAACGGGAGGGGACGTAGGGAGGGACGGCCGGCACACGGGAGGGGGCGACGGCAGAGACGGGGGGCACGGGCGGGGACGACGGCAGCAGAGACGGGGACCGACAGCAGCGGGGACGCTCTCTGAGAGGGGCGAACGTTTTGTGCTTCATAGATCCGTCTTGTGGAGCTTTCGGTTGCTGTTTTTCCCGTGTGTGCGTTCGGAAGTTAGATGGGGGAGGGGGGGGGGGGGGGGGGGGTTGGAAGAATACCCCTCCCCCGCAGGTAGCGTCCTGCTGAATAGCCCAGCTCGGCACGGGTTAAATAAACAATCGTACCAACATATGACCGAAATTCTGAAAGACCTCTTTTTGTAAACCCTCGAATCTGATTAGAGACCTATACTGTCATTGCCGTTTACCGCATTTAATTCGGCCCTGCGGTTTCAAGGTACTTACATTGACATATCACGAATCGTTTTCCTTCGCTTTGGGCCCCGCCAGCAAACGTGCTCTTAACCCGTTAGAATGTAACCAAACATAAGCAAACCTACCTACCTACTCCTTTGTAAGTCCTGAGAGTGCACCAGACCACAGGCAATAGGGCTAATCACGCAGCAGAAAGCTTGGGCCTTATCTGAATGCTTTTAACCCGCGCCCCACTGGGGTCTGCGTATAACGCTCCCTACTGGGGGAGGGGGGGGGGGCTCTTTAAAGCCCCCCCCCCCTCCTAACTCGGAAACTACTAGGCCGATCGGCAAAACTCAAACGGCGTCTGATAGCCCCGGAAAAACTGTCGAACGAAACCTAATTTCATTGACCTCGAGATCACCGATGACGTCACAGGTCAGGTCGAAGTAAAAATTATTAGCATTTTTGCTTGTTCACATTTTGGGCTCTGGCCGCCGTCTTACAAGTCAGATCAGGCTCATTTTTGGTTTAAACACTCGTGAATAGATGCTTCAGATACCCTAAAGGTACCAAATTTATACTTTGATTTTCAGGTCAGGGTCAGGTCATCACAGGTTACGGAAATATTATATCATGCGTCGGTCACGTGGCACATGTTTTATGGTTCATTTAGGCCATGGATTTCGAATCTGATGTCGTTTGTGTCATTTGAGGTCATTTTGAGTTGAATTTAGCTTAGGTCAGGTCACTTTCAGTAAAAAAATGTCAAATTTTGAAGTTATTTTTTCAACAAAAAAGGCATCTTTTGGATGCGGTTGGCTTAAGCTCAGGAACACGATGGTGCTATTTATATTGGTGTACGATGTCAAATACGTACTGAAAAAAAATGTTTTGAAAAATTTGTATTATAATTGTGAATTTTGTTTTGCAACAATGCGTATAACTTGGCCATTTTTGAAGATATCTAGCTAAAACTTGCTAGACTTAGGACCTAAGTCATAAGCTGACTTCATTTCCGGCTGAACTCTGGTAGCTACGAAGTTCATATTTTGACACAAGGTGTCAAATTGGTGAGCCGAAGTTAAAAATCAAATTCAAAATGAATAAAGAAGTAATACATTGATCTCATTTTGAGAAGCTTGACAGGTCTTACACAGAAAAAAAAAACTACTGGGATGTAGGCAGCTCTTGCGATCACATGGACTTTGGTAGCCGGGTAACAGAGCAGAAGGACCGACCACCGTCGCCCGCGTGCTATCAGCAGTGCAGTTCATCCGCTGGAATTTCTGTGGAGCGCAGCTGTCTGTACTGGCGCCTCGACCATCCGGTGTCTGCGGTCTCACAGAGGAAGATAAGACTGCACAAATTCGCCGGCATTATTTGAGCATGCGACCATCGTGGTATAGGTAGCTGGTAGGTACACTGTACAATTACATACAAACACATACTCGTATGAGCCAACTGCCTATCTTTCCTTCATATAACAATAAGACAAAGGAATTAAAATAAAATAAAAACGTTTAAATAGGGTATTTCACAACATCCTGGCATTTCTTACAACCAAGATGGTGGCTGTGCTTATATTGCCTTGCCAACGTGAACATTTATGTCAATCGCTGTCTGAATAGTAGGCATGCAAACCATACTTACGGTGTGCACCATTCAACCCGCGCCCTGGTGTGTGTGTGTGGGGGGGGGGATATTTTTGCCTCCTCCAGACTTTTCGATATATCTCCAGAACCGCTGCGTAAATCGTCACCAAACTTTCAGTAACCTCCCGGGCATCAATTTTACACCGTTTGACCAATTTATTTTTCCAAAGGCTAAGATAGATTGGCCGCAAATGACGTCAGAGTGACGTCATGTTCTACCGTATTCGACAAAAAAAAAAACGTTTCGCGGGAAGAGCTGTCAGGCCTATAGCTTTTAAGATACAGAAAGACATAAAGAGGTGTATAATTAACAGGGCTACAAAACTGTTATCTCTCGAAAATCTGATTTTTTTAATTTTGACCCCCAAAAATCATTAAAAAATATAATTGCTAAAAAAATGAAAAATAAATAGATTAACCAAAAATCCGGAATAAATGTGATAGCCCTTACCGATTTCTATTCACATACAACATTTTAGATCGATACCTTTTTTGGCCAAGTTTTAGCGAAAAACACTGTTCAAAATTGATGACGTCAAAGCAAAACAAAGACTCGCCGTGACGAGCTGCATCGAATCAATACCCATTTTATGCCAAAATAGAAGCTTTGAAATTTGACGTTTTTGACCTGAAATTGACCTGACCTCCACCAGGAAGTGACCTAAACCGTTTCCGATGGTCTTGTTACCAACACCATTGAGTTTGAAATGAAAAATTGGCTGTAAAACATGCATCACACCATACAGCCCTAGTAAAATTGGGTTCATGTGCTGACCCTTGGTGACCTGACCTGTGACATGACTTGATATTATTAGTCACCTCTATCAGCAACATACGTACTAGGCAACTAATGTCCCATCGCTGATTTTCGATGAAATGCGTTTTACTCGATGTTATAGCGCATTCCCTAGAAGACACGTGACCGGCAAAACATTTTATCTTTGACCTGACCTGTGACGTCATCGGTGACCCCGAGGCAATAAAACTAGACTTCCCTCGACAAATTTGAGGGCTTTCGAACGCCGTTTGAATTTTGCAGATCCTTCCAGTAGTTTCGGAGATACGAGGGGAGGGGGGCAAAAAATAGCCCCCCACCCCACCAGGTCGCCTAATAAACAGACCCCACCAGGGCGCGGGTTAAAATACTATCTAAGATTCGATTCAGGTTTCGATGGTTTTACTCCAGTAGAAACCCGATGATGAAAGCCACCCTGCAACCATTTTGTTTCGGGCCTGCCGGTCCCGATGAGCTGGTCCCATCTTGTGTCTCCTTGTGTTGTGGAAGAAGGAGCTCGGGTGTTCAAATGTACCCAGACTTGACATAAGTAGTTAGCTTGTCTAAGAAATACGTATGCTAGGTATACCTGTGCGGCGACTCATAAAACTGAAGAGAAAAAAAAAACATCTCACGATTATTTGATATGTATTGTTCTGCAGTCCAAAAACAACGCATCTTTCTGCTAGCCTATCCATGAGTTCAGGCTGTGTTACGAGTATGCACATTATCCATGTTCACCGTCGCGTATGCATAACCTTTATAAACTATATACAAAGCTTGCAATCGTTCGTAAGCTTCTATGAGCAAGGCACTTGGGGTGATTCGCCATCTCTACAGTCTGGTGTTCTGGCGGCCTCCCCTGCTCGACACGGAGGTTTCTGAAGTCTGGCCGGTACCGGTGTGCGCGGCTTTGGAGGGTGACGAGGTGCCGTCTTCAGTGCCATCCGCGCAGCACCGGCCGGCCAGTAGAGAGCGCCACAGACCACGCACCCCGCTCTCCCCTGCCACCATCAGCAGGAATATGGCGAAACCTGCCGCACACACCAAACGCATCGGTCAGGCGTAAGGTCACCTACCCATAACAGAGGAATTCTTACCTAAAAAAATATGACTTTGCATACTGCTTGATAGTGCCACGTCTCAGAAGTAATGATGGCGTTTTACGATACCAAAGCATCCCGTAAATATTTACATCTTCGGATTACCTAAAAACGTTTTTCTGGATACACTTCTAGAACAATGACAATGTGAAAGCGTGACGTTCATAATAGGCCCAGCTAAGGGATGCAGACTCGTCAAAAAGGTTTGTACTTATATGGAAATGCTGGCATGCGACTAGTTCCGACGACTGTATGACGTGGCATTAGCTTATGGACTGCAGCTTCTCACCTTGCAGCATGCTGCAGACGCAGAAGAGCACTGCCAGGACGATCCGCGCCTCCCTGACGGCCAGCAGGCCGAAGACCCACGGCAGGCCGAGCAGCACGAAGGTGAGGACCGAGACGCGAAGACGGCGCAGCGCCAGCTGTCGCTCCGGCTGGTTGGTGCGCAGCCCCTTCTGGCGTCCGCAGTTCAGCGCGTACACGATGAGGCCAAAGAGGACGGCGTTAAAAACCACCACGGCGAGCACCGGCAGCGCCAAGGCGTAGTAGAAAGTCTGGAAGTCCATCCAGCAGACGCGCTCCTGGCCGTCGTAGCAGTGAGGGCGAACGGCCAGCACGCAAACGACCGGCGCAAGACTGCCGCCCCAAACGAGGATGCTCGCCTTCAGCATGAACTTGGAGATGTAAGTGCCCACGACCCTCACGAAGCGCAGGTACTGAAACACAGCCTCCACGGCCATCCATCCAAAGGTCGCCAGCAAGAAGAAGTGGAGCAGCGCCGACAGACAAACGCAGGCCCCGTGATGTTCTGTCGCTGCCAGACCTCCCAGAAAAGTCACGTACACCCCTGTCAGAGCGACACTCATGTGCATGACGATCTGACTACCACGCAGCTTCCTCCATTTCTTGAACACCACAAATGTTAACATGGTGAGGAACAGCCCAAAAAGTGATAGTGCACTTCCAACATACGTGATTACGTCTAGTGTGCGATGGTATGTTTCGCTGAGATACACGTCTTCTTCGTAGTTGAAGATCCTTGCAAAATTGGTCAGGTGGTTGCAACGACAGACATCGCTACCATTGTAAATCTTTTCCAGCCAGCACCCTCGCGTCGACCATCGGGAGGCTGCGACGTCCCAGAATGAGCAGACCGGCTCTGGCGCACACTGTCCGGGGCGGCCCCGGAACGCCACCACAACCTCGCTGCTGAGCTGGGTCTCCGCCAGCTCAGACGGCAGTAGGGCGCTGACTACCTGACTGGTCACGCGCTGACCACCAGATTCCAAGAGTCGCCCATCGCGGTATACGAGAAACACAACGGGCACTTTCGGTTTTTTGTTCTCCAAGACAAGTGCTGACTCTACACCAAATAGTGATGATCGCATGACACCCTTGCCTGCTAGCTGAAGTGAGGACTTTTCGATTTCTTTGGTGGACGAGAAGACACCAACGAAGTCTCCGGAACGGGCTGCCACATTGCTTGTGCTTACATTCACTGCACTTCCGGAGGAGGAGCTAAGGAGAATGCCTTCGAGAGAGCGTACAACACGAGGACCTACCACTACCAATTTCGTAGCAGTCCTGAGCGTTGAACGATCGACGTCCATCAGCTGGCTGACAACAGTCGCCACGCTCTTCTGCGTAATCACCAGATCTTCTGTCAGCTGAGGTTCCCGACCCCCCAGGCCAGCCTGAATGTTTTCCAGCGTCACAGTGGCAGATATCAAGTCCTGTAAAACCAGACCGGAAGGCTCTGATGTTAATCGTTCCAGCTCACTAGTCGTAGTCACCAAGTTTTCGGTCGTCACGGTCACTTGCGATAGCAGGTGCAGATTGGTGGTCACATTTGACACGCTGGCGCAGCGGGAGCCGCTGAACTGCACTGGCTGCCACTGGACGCCCGTGAGTGGGCTGCCGCTGCAGCGCCGGAGTGCGGGTCGGCCGGCGCTGTCAACGCACAGCTCCGCCGGTGTAACAGTTCCACCACACGTCTCCGGCCAGCTGAACAGAACAGGGCTCTCTGTCCGCTCCGCTGGACAGCAGCGCGCGTGCTTCACGTACTCGAGTCCAGCACCGAACTCATCTCGAAGCACCTGGATTCCGTTGGGCTTAGCCGGACTCTGGCGAGGACTTTCCAAGTCATCTTGTAGTTGTCTCGGTCGCTCAGATACCCCGAAAGTTTGGCGACGGCGACGCAGCGGTGGGTTGAAATCAAAGGTGACAAAATAGTGTGCAGTCACTCTGTTGTCAACAGAGGGAGTCGCTCTGAGAGGGTGAAACTTTCGGTAGAAAGGAGCAGCGATTCCATCAAATACATACCCACTCGTCAATGACTGGTTGAAACATCCACATGCAGATCCACAAAAGATGAGCTCACATCCTGACTCAGGCCATAAAGCTCCCTTCAGACCAATCACATATTCCTGCACTGGTGGTCCATCCGACTGCTTGAGCAGTGTCAGAGAATTGGATGTTATTTGCTCCCCTGTCTCGTTGATCAGTAATCCACATGTCAGGTATCCGAAATCAACAGAAGGGAAAATCTGTATGAAGGCCCTGTCATCCATCGATGGGAGGATCTGCATTCTTGACACCATAAATTCATCGCGGACCTGTTCAGTTTCAAATTGTTTTGTCGGTGAATAGTCTGAACTAGTTTCTCTCGACGTTGACGTAAAACACGAAATGGCTTTTTCCAAGTCTACTACGAGGCGTTGAACACCAGTTACATTCGCAAAAATGGACGGACCCTCGTAAAAAAGAACAATTTCAGGGGGACCAGCATGAATATATCTGTGGCACAGTGCGCAGCTTGCAATCGCCTGATCGCTTTCTACAATATCGTACAAGCCACGAGAAATGTCTAAAATTCCCCGGTCTTGGTCTCCAGATGTGGAAGCATCCGATGCAAGGGCCGGATATGAGAGCGGGGTACCGTCACCCCAAACCAATCGGCTGCTGTGCCTCTTCAGATTAACTGCAACTCGTGCAGGTCTCTCGAGAGCACGCCCGAACCGTACCAGAGCATCGAGTTGTCTTTGAGATGTCAAACTTGCCAGCGAAGAGTTGGAGTCGGTGCATAGAGACGACGCCTCTGACCACGATATTTGAGATTCGGTTGCCGGACAAAGAAAGGCGAAACAGCGTTCGACGTCCCCAGGTGACCGGGCGCCGAGCCCGAGAACAGTCTGACATGGTCGTCCACGAGCGCTCAGGATTGATTGACTGGGCTGCACGGCCTGTGAATACAGTGGCCTTGTGACACACAACACAGCATGCCGATCCGTGCATGCAGAACTAACCAGCCATCCACGTGGAGTCACTGCTGCACAATCGAGGCTAGCATTCAGATTTGCCACCGCTCGATCGTCACGGGACAGAAGACCCAGAACATCGGGCAGGAATGCTCCAAGAGACCACAGTCTTCGAAACGGAAGCCAAAGTGTATGGTTGAACACAGCGGGCGAAATAAAGCTGAGTTCCAAGAGTCTTCGCCTTGGATGCCAAGGTACCGCACTAGGATGTTGTTGACGACATGCTGATGTTCTTCCCTGAAAGGTGACACCGGTTACCAGACGGGAACAAAGCAGCTCGGAGGAAAATTCAGACCTGTCCATACCGGACCTTATGAATCCTGGTGGACATGCGGGTGGCGGTGGTTGACAGGGAAAAGGCTGTGAGCTGCAGTCTCCGGCAGCGCAGAACGGACCCCACTGGGCACCTTCTCGTCCAAAGCTAGGCTTGCATTGTCTTCTCAAGAATGAATTGAGCCCTGGGACGACACAAGCCGGCTCTGATGTGACAAAGCCGTAACTATTTGAAGACTGTCTCCAGACATGATCTTGCACTTCCTCTTCTGCACAGTTGAAAACGTCTCTGAGCCCGTAACGTGAGGCTGCTGATTGGCTTGTGATATTTGCGGTATGCAGCAGTGAACCGTTCAGAGGGGAACTGGAACCAACTAGGATGGACACGGTTCTTCTTCTTTGACGGTCATCAAACTCATCGGAGGCCGAATTCGGTGTCACTTGGCGTCCAGTAAATTCATACACTGCTAGAAAGTTGAGTTCGGGCGAGCCTGACCTAAGGAACACCCTCAGTTGTTCCAGAATGTCAAACGTTCCACTGCTGTCATCGGGCCCAAGGCCATCAACTTCGTCCGGCAGGTAGCCAGAGCCATAATCGTAGTCGGAGTCATCAGACAGAAGTAGTTGGAGCGCTCTCACTGCCCCGTCTGCGGCCACCGTCAGCACTTGCAGGTCCTCAGAGCTCGTCAGGTGGAGTCTGCCGCTGACGGCAGGGTCGACGGTGCCTTCCACGTACCTCTGGCACCAGTACGTCCCGACGCCGAGAGCGCTACTCTCCGGCTGCGGAAACATCTGGCGAGTGATGGTGAAGTTTCCAAGCCACCACCGCGACACATACTGAGTTTTTCCCAGGATGAAATGGTCCTTGACAATGCTGTCACCTGGGCCGCAGCGTAGAATTAGTTCAAAGTCACCTTGCAAAGCTGCGCGGTTGAGCAGCAGCACCTCGTCTGACTTTGGTCCCAGCTGAATAACCCTGTCGTCGTAGACAGCTGTCATTGACGGAAGATAACCGGCTGAACGCACTTCATCGTCCGTTGCGTCGTTTGAAAAACACACTACTCTTCGAGTCTCCTCACAAGGTAGCCAGTCGGCCTCTAATTCGTTGTCAACAACTGTTACGTACTGGCAGAGATTGAAGTGGTCAAAGGAATATGCTGAAGAAGATCGTCCAACCTCTTCATAGTAAACTTGTCCAGAATCTGAAATAAACATGACTTGTGTTAATCACATTACTTTGGTTCTGTAGTTACCTCGTTATTTCCTCTCTGAACTATGAAAAGACCAGGCATCCAGGTAACTTAAGTGATACATCACATTTTTGTATGTGAAAGAATGCAAAATCATATTTTTGTGGGAGCGGTAGGCATCTACTGGTTAGATAGCGTTTGAATAGCAAACGTATCAATCGGAAAAAGATGCAAATAAATTGGTGCGGAATTGGCTGGAAGCTCGCAGCTAATGTCTCCTCTGTGGACCATAAAATCGACGAGTGAGCCATATCATCCCACTTACAAGCGCTCACACAATAACATTCTTACCACTCATCTGGAGAAGCCACTCATAGTAGCCGTTTCGCAGGTATCGGGCCCCCAGCCAGAAGTCTCCATGACCGGCCGCCCGCTGGTACAGCCGGTCGAGGATCACACTGTTGAACGCCCGGCGGGAGGGCACCAGGAAGGCGCCGCGCCGGCGGCACAGCGCGTGCGCCTCTCGCCACGTGGCCGTCTCGGAGCGAAATTCGACACGGGTGCCGTTGTCGCGGCAGACCAGGTGCCCTCCCTCGGCGAGGCACGTGAACGGCTGCTCCGTGGGGAGCTGCGGGCAGACCACGGCCAGCAGAGAGGCCACCAGGGCGACCCGAGCGGCTGCGGCGGACCGCGGCAGGGCCATCGTGTCCAACTGGAGGTCGAGGGTCCAGTGGCTTCTGCCAGACAGCGTCAGACGTTTGCACAGAACTGGCGAAGAAGGGCCAAAGATCAGACTCCCAACAAACGCCGTTTTTCGCGATAACTGGAAACATGCTAGCGATAGAGGGCTTAAATTTGGCGCACCTGACCTTTCCTTCAGATCTTGCAGCACCAACTACATTTCAACTGTAACTGCATTTCTGCCGTTTTTTTTAAAGCTATAGCGCGGCGAAAAAGTGAGGGCGTTTAACGCCTCCCTCCCCCTCCCCCAGTAGCTCGCGGGCCTACGCTCTTCTGTCAGGTTTGGTCTAAGGTCAACGGTTTAGTCAGCACAGGGCAAAAACTGCCAAAATAGACGTTTTTCCGGAAACAAACTTGCATGAGCTAACTTTTAGCCCTATTTCGAGCGGGCTCTGAAAGGTTCGAAATCGGGCGGGGGTGCCTTTTCGCTCCCCCCCCCCCCGATCTCGAAAACCACGAATCGGAGCGATAAATGGTAAACGACCTTTGATAGTTCGTTGAAAGACCTACAACTTTAATAAAAACGAATTTTTGGGTCAGGTCGCTATTGGGGTCACCAGAAGTCATCACAAATAAAATGTTTGAAACAGATACTTGCATGACCTTGAAAGGTCATCTTCAAAATTTGACCTGAGGTCACGCTGGATACCAATCAACGCGTCATGACCAGGCAAACAGTCTGGTACCTACAATTTACAAATCTTTACCACCATATCATATCGTGATTTTTTTGGCTAAAACTATTGATGATGTCACAAGACCTTAGAACGTATGTTATGTTGTCAATGCATCACTACACTATGACCCGCGCCCTGATGGGGGGCCATTTTTTGGCCCCCCTGTGGTTTTTCTAAAATAGCGAGAAAACGGCGGCGCGCAGCGCCACCAAATTTTTGAAACCTTACTGGGCATCAATTTGACACCTTCACACAAAATTTCAAGTCACAGGTCACCTCAGGTCAGGAGTTATTGAGGTCAAACTGAGGTCATGTTCGAGTAAAAATGAGCAAAAAACATGACATCTTGAAACGCTCACCAATTCTACAGTTAACAAGCAATTTTACAGTTCTTTATGTGGTTGTGTAGAAAAAAGACGGCGCTATAAAAATGCTATCTCGGATTTTCGAAATTTTGGGATTTTGACCCACAAAAATCAAAACATTGATTTAAAAAGAAAACTAAAAAAAAATCCAATTTTTTTTTGAATTTCGAAAAAACCGGAATACATGTGATAGTCCCTGCGCTCTTCGATATACATACCAAAGTTTAGATCGATTCCTCTTTTTTTGGCCAAGTTATAGCGGAAAAACTTAAAAATTGATGACGTCAAATTTTTTAACTCAATTTTTAGCAATTCTAGACCTCGTAGCGCAAAACGGAGACCACCACCATTGAACTCCCCGTGACGAGCTGCATCGAATCGATACCCATATTATGCAAAAATATCAACTTTGAAATTTGACCTAATGTGACCTGACCTTGGCCTGACCTTGACCTGACCTTGACCAAAACATGACCTAAGCTGGCCATAAAGTCTGTCTGACCCACATAATCATATTTGTCATGTAAAATGGACCATAAAACATGTATCACACGTCACTTTCATATTGTGACCCACCAGTGACCTGACCTCTGTGACCTGACCTGGTATCAGTGACCTCAAAGAGCAAAATATGTGTTTGAAGAACATTTGCCTATCGATGATTTTCAATGAAATGCATTTTACACGATTTTACAACGCATTTCTTGAAATGCCTGTGAACGGTGAAAATTCGACCTTTGACCTGACCTGTGACGTCATCGGTTTGACCGAGGTCAATGAAATTGGGTCACAAGGTAGTTCCCCGTTGGGGCTATCCAACACCGTTTACCGCTTGTCGCTATGTTGCGTGGTTCTCGAGATCTGAGGGGGGGGGGCCAAAATGCCCCCCATCAGACCGCGTTGCTCGGCAGACCCCATCTGGGCGCGGGTTAACTGGGCTCGTAATACCCACTGTGGAGAGTTTCCAGTTAAAAGACAAATACAAATACAAATACAAAATGACCCTTCCCGGTGCCCCTGTCACTGGGTAATGACGGATTAGATAATCTGTCATAGTCCTGAAAGAATTGAATGATTTTGACTCGTTTACTCTAAGCAGGACACTTTTTAATATTTTCCCATAGGCTTGTAAAGTAAAGATCACGTCACGACTATGACCTGACCTCACGTCGCAGATATAAAGATTCTAAGATATGCTAAATTACATACCTAGGGTAACTGTGGGGAAAACGCACCCCTGGGGCATTCCACGATAGATCGACCAAAGCCGTACACCCTCATATTTTATTTTTTGCTTAAAATTAGTCTAATGGGTTGTGATGGGCGGGGAAGCCAGCTGTGCCAAGGATTTTTTTCTTCGAACAACGGTTTCCGAGATATAGCCTCAGGCAATTCCTGGAGGTCACGGTGCAACCCTATGTTTGGCGGCTTATAACTCAGAAACTATTGGTTTTCTATGGTAAAAACTTTATATGGTTCAACTCGCAATCAACCAACAAACGTTTTGGCTATCTCGGATTTTCGATTTTTGAAAATTTTTATCACGTGACATCTTGACCTTTTTTCGAAGAGTGACCTTGATATTTTCCCAACTGAAAGTCGCAATTATGTCTGATGACGATTAAAGCCTTATCAATTGTCATTCATATGCGCAAATAAAAAAGTGGCTATCGCTCTGCGTTGACCTCAGGTCAGGTCATTTTTATGACCTGTCCATTATTACGAGCGGGAGCGACGCGAGATCTCAAGAATAAAGCAAGATAGCGACAAGCGGTAAACGGTACAGGATTCACACGGATAAGATCTACAATTTTTGCGGAGGTCATTTTCAGGTCAGGTCAAAGATGACGTCACAGGGGTAGAAAGGAAGTCAAAATAGTTTTGGCTGTACCTTTTGATCTAATAAAGAAAGAGACGTGGAACAGGCACCATTGTGTTTGCTTTCGCCTAGCGCCAGTTCGTTTTGAGTTTCAATACCGATGACCTAAGATCAGGTCAATTTCTTGGCCACCCCATTATAAGTCAATTGGGGAAAAATCAGCTCCCTTATTTTTACACTAAAACGCGTCGGAATTGCCTAATATACCATGAGTGACTTCATATACGACTAACTTTGACTACCTTGAGACCTTTTTTGCTCTTGGTCAACTGTGACGTTGCTCTTGGGTCATGTGACGTCATTAAAGGTCACCAAATGTTTTTTGCATATAACTCCTTACAGGTTTGAGATACAGCCGCGCGGATAGGCTCATTGTGTTCAGCTCGTCAAGGCCCATCGAATGATATATATGATGACCTTAAGGTCACGTGACCTAAGGTCAACTTTTGACCTTGACCTTTTGAGGTCAACATACACATGTTTCGATGCGGATCGACGAGAGGATCACGATAGTGCTATTAGTTTGTTCCTAGCTGGGATACTTTGAAAGTTATTCGAGAAAAACTTCATATATATGTAGTGCCGCCATTTAGACTTTCTTCTTACCCCTGTGACGTCATCTTTGACCTGACCTGAAAATGACCTGAGTAAAAATTGTAGACCTTATCCATGTGTACTTTGTGCCGTTTACCACTTGTCGCTATCTTGCTTTGTTCTCGAGATCTCGCTGTCCCTCCCGCTCGTAATAATGGGAAGGTCATAAAAATGACCTGACCTGAGGTCAACGCAGGCCGAAAGCCACTTTTTTATTTGCGCATATGAATGACAATTGATAAGGCTTTAATCGTCATCAGACATAATTGCGACTTTCAGTTGGGAAAATATCAAGGTCACTCTTCGAAAAAAGGTCAAGATGTCACGTGATCAAAATTTTCAAAAATCGAAAATCCGAGATAGCCAAAACGTTTGTTGGTTGATTGCGAGTTGAACCATAAAAAGTTTTTACCATAGAAAACCAATAGTTTCTGAGTTATAAGCCGCCAAACATAGGGTTGCAGTGTGACCTCCAGGAACTGCCCGAGGCTATATCTCGGAAACCGTTGTTCGAAGAAAAAAATCCTTGCCACAGCTGGGTTCCCCGCCCATCACAACCCATTAGACCAATTTTAAGCAAAAAATAAAATATGAGGGTGTAAATTTTATTTATTTTTGGTCGATCTATCGTGGAATGCCCCCCCCCCCCCTGGGTTAAACGCCTCCCCTAAAAAATCGTATTTCTTATCGACGGATAGGTGTTTTATCCTGTCTTTCAGAACAGCTCCCAGTAAACATGACGACGTCGGCCCGACGTCGGGCCGAGGCTCGGCCCGACGTCGGCCCAACGTCGGTTCAACCTCGGCCCGACATCGGCTGGACGTCGGATATGCCCGCATGTTCCGACGTCCAGCCGAAGTCCAGCCGACGTCGGGCCGACGTCGGGCCGAGATCGTTTGCCGAGGATGACGAGATCGTTTGTCGTTGAACCGACGGGGCCGACGTCGGCATGTTTATTGGGACAACGCGCCAAAAATATCAACCGGCGGCGGGATTCGAGCCCCCAGTCGCCGACGTCGGCATGTTTACTGGGACAACACGCCAAAAGCATCAGTCGTAGGGGATTCGAACCCCGTGTCATACGAACGCTACGTTAGTGCGCTAACCACTACACCACGCAGCAAGCTAACGAACATTGTTTGTTTTGTTGGGTTATGCCCTTTCGGTCTGACAAGACCATTTCAGAGCCGGAAGGATCATAGGATGGAGACATTGGTCTTCTTGGCGAGCACCCTGGGTCCAGTTCATATAGAGTCCCTGGTCCCATTGCTGTTACGTGACACTTATTGGAAAGGGCGACCCCACAATGGATTCATATAGCCACTCTTACACACCTGCACCAACGTTTCCCAAAGTGTCCCTTTGATAAGTGGCACTTTGGCAAAGTGACACTTGCCGACTGGCCTTTCTATATGAACTGGGCCCGGCCCTGGTGAGTTGCCGGGGCTGAGCCTGACCAAAGGATAGGCCGAGCAGCCCCCAAGCACTCACCGCACCCGGCTACCGGCGAGCTCGGCTTACGGGCAATCCCAAATGGGATAAAGTTTCCCGTCCAGTCCGGATCAGGGGGTTGCGGCGTGGAGGAAGATTTGAGTTTCCTGAGGATATTTTGAATACAGAAGCTCTTTATGAAACATGAAACATGTAATTTATATTATTTTAACGGTCAAAACAGCGGCCGATGTCGGTCCGACGTCGCCCCGACGTCGGCCCGACGTCGGCTGGACCACCTCAGCAATTGATCTCGGTCCGACGTCGGCCCGACGTCGGCTGGACCTCGGCTGGACGTCGGAACATGCGGGCATATCCGACATCCAGCCGACGTCGTGCCGAGGTTGGACCGACGTCGGACCGACGTCGGCATGCTGATGCCGAGTTGCCGACGTCACCCCGACGTCGGCCGACGTCGGGCCGACGTCGGCATGTTTACTGGGAGTCAGCTGCTTGTTTACGTAGGTCTCTATTTCCGGTTCTGCGTCTTGAGGAGCAGCGTGGGTAGGTGCTGATGTTGGTTTTGGGTGTTGTTTTTGTTGTTTTTACAGAAGATTCCTAAGATTTTGATGCCCTCCTTATATCACAAAATTTGCTATTGTGCACATCACTAAAAACTGCGTTTTATTGCCATTCTGTTGAATTTATTATGCTACGGCGTTAGTGGCGCGTTTTTTGTCAATATTTTGTTGACCGGAAATGGAGTGGATGGGGAAAGACGCCTACTCGATGCATGGGGCAAGACGCCCCCAGTTTTCTGAAAGGGGGCGTTTTGCACGGTGGTGAGAGTGCAGGGTAGCGCCCTGTAGGTGGGTGCCGAAAAGGCCTCTCCCCGTCCTTTTTTGCTGATATATCCTAAACGACTGCAGATATCGTTACCAAACTTTCAGGACTCCTCCGGGCATCCATTTTACACATTGCAACACAATTTTATTCCAAAGGCTATGATAGGTTGATCACAAATGACTTCAGAATGACATCAAGTTCTGCCATGTTCATCATTTTCTGTTGCTGGATGGGGTGGGGGCGCTTTGCACATGGGTGTGGGCGTATTACCCAGGGTGTGGGGCAAAACGCCCTTTTGTAAGGGTATGCGAAAACCTTTTTGGGGGGTTAAATACCACACGCAGGTGTCTTTTCTTGGTCTCAAAGCGTAGTAAAAAGAATGAGCTACATGATGGTGCCCAAAGGTTTGAGTAATCTGTGTTGGGTTGAGTGTCAGAAGGTTTCGCGCTTAATGGGGGCGTTTTTGACCTATTCACCCTACCTATACTGGTACTGTAATGAAAACCTGAAGAGAGGAAATCGCTCCGTGAAAAATAAACTCTAGCTCTGACGTGATTGCAAACTTTTCTGAGGTGGGGTCAACAAGCCCGCTATAGTGACTTGACCTGGCCCGACCTGGCTTTTTTTTTTTGCTGAAAGGGGCACAATGGATATTTAGGAAAAGTCACCAAGTATGAGCTGAATAATATCTTGCGGTGTTTGGCAATGACACAAGAAAAACCTAAGGGGGCCTTTTCGTCCCCCACCCCGCCCGGAATGGGGTTTATGGCATCGTGATTCTATCGTCGAGACGCGTCGAATGAGCTTCCCGACGAATGCCGGTCCCGTAGCTCAGTCAGTAGGTAGGTATATAGAGCGATGGACTCCGCGTAGTGAGAGCATGCGTTCCCGGTTCTAACAGTCCGGGTTCGAATCGCGACGGGCGCTGGACATTTATGGGCCTCCTGACAGGATGGTTGCGGCTGGTGCAGCAGACCGTAGCCAGGCGAAGTCAGCGAGGGGACCACCCGTGCGCCGCTATGTGCGCACGTTAAGCTTTGGACTCCAAATTCTGCCATAAAACCGGAATTGCGCGATCGGAGGGTAGAGGGCAGGGTCAACCCAACAAGCTTTCTCTTAGCGGTCCTTGTGAATCCTTTCATTCAAAAGGTTCGGACGAAATGTAGGCATTGGAAAAAATGAACAATAGTTTTACCATGAAAGGCCAACTCACAAATCTGACCTTGGGTCAAGGTCATGACCTTACCGGAAAAGGCTGTGCTGCATATCAGTCGATCCGTATCGTCAAGCTGAACACATCTAATGTGTTTTAATGCTCAAGCACGTATTTATCAAAAGTTATTAGCGGAACACTGTTCGATGATTTTTGTATGCGTGCGCACTGCGCATGCAAGTGCCTAACACATGACCTGACCGAAAATGCTGCAAGACTAGTGGGATATTCTATAATATCATACTGCTACTAGTGATATTAATTACATGTTTAATGTTTATACTTCAACAGGCTACGCTAGCGATCCGTTACAGTTCCATGTATATTGTATACCTGTTGTAAGTATGACATAAATGCGCACACAGTAGGTAATGACATTGCCTGACATTTTGACTTTGTCATTTTGAATGACTGACTAAAAGTGGGAGACAGAAATAGTAATAATTCAGCCGACAATGTGTGCAATGCAACCGGCTACACAGAGACACACAGGTGGTCACCTAGCCCACACCTTACACCTGTCCTGCGCTGCCGTCACCCACCTGGTCACTCGGTGCAGTAGACGGCTGTCCGCTGCCGAACAGTCGGCCACCTCAGGTCAGCCCGGCCGGCCGGTCACTGCGCGCTGCCGTCCCGCGACCACCGCGCCCCGCTGCACGGTGGGCCGGCGGGCGGGGGCCGTCCGGATGTGCTCCCTATCCACATCCGCCGCTGATCGAATGGCGTCAGCTCCCGTCAGGGTCGTGCTGAAGCCTGTAGTTGTACGGCGACCGCCGCTCTCATGCATAATGCATCCCACGTACTACGCAGCACGAGTGCAAAACGCTTTAGAAAATATAAAGAACCATGTTCTTCAGAGGCGGCGGGTTGTGATGTTGAGCATGAGCGCTGGGACGAGAAAACCTAATGGGCATATTTTTACTGGATGAGCCTAAGGTCGATGGGGGTAAGTAACCCACCAGGGTCCGAAGGTATTTGCCATCCCCCTGTCTCACTCCTAAACCCGCGCGGCGCTGGGGGGAATAAATATTTGGAATTTTTGGAATTCAGCCCAGATTTGGGACACCTCCGATCAAGCTGAAACTCACACAAAATGTAGGTCCTAACATGCCTAATCCACAGTCCGAGTCATTCGGTAGCACTCCCAGCCATTCGACCTACAGAGGTCAGCAAAGGTCACGTGACCCAAATTTGCACAGCAGATTGTGGCCCACCCAGTAGAGCTAGAGCGCTAGAAATGGCACCAATCAACTCGCCAGCATCTAATCTTACTTTCCCAATACCCATTTGACCTCTCCAGGTTATGCGATGAACTAAGGTCATTTGTGGGCTATGTCGAAAATACATTTGCATAGCAGTTCTCGAGTAGAGGGATTGACCGAATTCCAAATCAAAGCACATCATCGGGTAGCGCATAGGTGGAAGTAACTTTCCTTAAAAACTGCTTCTCGATATTTGACCCCGTTTGACCTCGGCAGGGCAAAATGTCTAAATAAACGACACTCCAAACGTCGCAGCCCGGATTCAGCCCAGATTCGGGACACCTCCAATCAGGGACGTAGCCAGGGGGGGCGGAGGGGGCGCCCGCCCCTCCCTTGGGGTTTTCAGGAGGCCGCCCGAAAGGATTCAGGCCAACGTGGGCCGAAGGCCCACGCTGGCCTGAATCCTTTCGGCCTGAATCCAACGTGGGGCGAAGGCCCACGTTGGCCAAAATCACGTCGGAGGCGAACGAAATTCACCCAGGAATCTAAAAAATGACGTCAGAACAATCAGGGCCCTCTGACCAGCCTGACAAGTGACAGCTAGGGCCCTTCTCATCTCCTGTGAATAACCACTAGTGTCTGTGTCTGACCGCTAAGGCCCCTCTGACTCCTCAGTAGAGAGGAGGCCCTCTGTGGGTAGGAGGCCCTGTGTAGAGAGGAGGCCCCCTTAGAGAGGAGGCCCTCTGCAAAAAGGAGGCCCTCTGTAAAAAAGAGGCACTCTGTAAAAAGGAGGCCCTCTGTAGAGAGGAGGCCCTCTGTAGAGAGGAGATCGTCTGAAGAGAGGAGGCCCTCTGTAGAGGAGGACTCCCTCAGTAGAAAGGAGGTCCTCTGTAGGTAGGAGGCCCTCAGTAGAGTGAAGGCCCTCTGAAGAGAGGAGGCCCTTTGCAGAGATAAGGTCCTCGGTATAGAGGAGGTCCTGTGTAGAGACGAGACTCTGAAGAGAGGAGGCCCTACATAGATAGGAAGCCCTCTGTAGAGAGGAGGTCCCTGTAGAGATTAGAGAGGATGCCCTCTGCAGAGAGGATTATTATTATTATTATTATTATTTCATGTTCCCACTAACCACCATTCGGTGGGCATTACAGAGTGAAACACATTGACACACATAAACCATATACATACAATACAGGCAGCGCAGTGCCCTGTCATTCATAAGCATGGCATCCTCTACAGAGGATGCCCTCTGTAGAGAGGAAGCCCTCTGTGGCTGTGTTGGTATTTTTACGATGGATGCAATTACCCAAACCATTTATCAGACCGTGGTGATATTCCCATAGCCATGCTTCGCACAACTCATAATAATTTATTTGACCGGGAAATTAATATGTACCTATCCATCGATTGTTTGTTTCATCTACGGCGTAAATGAAGCAAACCACCTGGACCTAGGAAAATTTACTAACGAAACCATGTTTTACTTACAGCAAGTAAACGTGGCATCATTCACACATAAAAAATCGATAACCGTATAGTTTTAATCTTGCAGACGTCAGTCAGGTCAGAATCGTGACAAGCCTATTGGAAAATATAATGAACTGTGTCCTGCTTCGAGAAAACGAGTCAAAACTACCCAATTCTTTCTGAATTACGTCAGATTATCTGATCTGTACGCACCCAGGTGGCATTTACTGACAGGGGCACCGGAAAGGATCATCTGAGGTGAGGTGAGGTCATCAACAGTTTTTAGCCAATAAATCACGACATGATGGGGCTAAATAGTTGTTAGTGTACCAAACCGTTCGCCTGGTCATGACGCGCCGATTGGTACCCAGCGTGACCTTCCTAGGTCAGATTTTGAAGTTGACCTATCTATGTAGGTCGTTATAAACCATGTTATTTGTTATGACCTCTGGCGACCTCAATATTGACCTGACCCAAAAAAGTTGTTTACAAAAGTTGTAAGTCGTTCAACGAACTATCAAACGCCGTTGCCGTTTGTCGCTACGATTCGTGCTTTTCGAGTTCTGACGGGGGCCAAAAAGGCCCCCGCCCGATTCAGAGTCTTTCAGAGCCCGCCCGGAATACGGTTAAGCGCTTGAACGATATAGGCCCGGGCAGCGCTTGTCGAACAGCTCTGCGGATCCGAAGGTTGGGACTTTAATTGTGAAAAACCGCCCGCCCGCCGCCAAACGCAAACACCGCAAAACGCACGCCCAAAACGCAAACGCAAACTTCGCACAAAAAAAAAACAATCGCCCGCCCGCCGAAAACCGCAGAAAAAAACGCAAAAAAACGCCGCAAAAAAGCCCGTCCGCCGCAAAACGCAAACACCGCAAAAACGCAGACACCGCCGCCAAAAAAACGCCCGCATCGCCCGCCGCCAACGGCGAAACGCCGCAAAAAACGGCCGCCCGCCGCAAACCACAACAACGCAAATAACGCCCGGCTGCCGGCAACCGCAAAACGCCGCAAAAAAACCGCCGCCCGCCGCAAACCACAAAAAAACGCCGCAAAAAACGGCCGCCCGCCGCAAACCGCAAAACGCCGCAAAAAACGACCGCCCACCGCAAACCGCAAAACGCCGCAAACAAAACGGCCGCCCACCGCAAACCGCCGCTAAAACGGCCGTCCGCCGCCAAACGCAAACACCGAAAAAAACACCCGCATCGCCCGCCCGCCCGCCGCCAAACACAAAAACCGCAAAAAAACGCAAACACCGCCGCAAAAAACGCCCGCAACGCACGCACGCCCGCCGCTAACCGCAAATAAGCGCTTGAACGATATATGATAATACATCAAGTGTTACTCTGACCGTTATCCAGTATCCACCCATTCCTCGCAGATCCTCCCCCTCTGCTGCGGTCCGGCCGCCGCCGCCGCCGCCGCCCGAGTTTTTTTTTTTCCAGTTATACCATGCCACTCGGAGACTCGTGATATGCGTATGTTTCTTACCGCGACAGCGGTAAGAATAAAGAAACATACCACTGCGCTGGCCATATGAAAGCTGAACAAAAGTCTGCATTATGTTGTATATGTAATTATGTAGGCATGAGACCCTCTGTAGAAAGGAGGCCCCTTTAGGGAGGAGGCCCTCTGCAGAAAGGAGGACCCCGGGATTCCTCCGCCCCTCCCTTGGCCAAATCCTAGCTACGTGCCTGCCTCTAATCAAACTGAAACTCGCACACAATGTAGGTCCTCACATGCCCAATCCACAGACCGAGTCATTCGGTGGCACTCCCAGCCGTTTGATCTACAGAGGTCAGCAAGGGTCACGTGACCCAAATTTGCACAGCAGATTGTTGCCCACCCAGTAGAGCGAGCGCTAAAAATGGCACCAATCGACTTGCCAGCATCTAATCTTACTTACCCAATACCCATTTGACCGCTCCAGGTCAGGCGATGACCTAAGGTCATTTGTGGGCTATGTCGAAAATACTCTTGCACAGCAGTTCTCGAGTAGAGGGATTACCCGAACTCCAAATCAAAGCACATAATCTTAAATCTACGGCCCATAGGCCGTAGTAACTTTCCTTATAAATCGCTTCTCGATATGTGACACCGTTTGACCTCGGCAGGGCAAAATGTCCAAATAAACGACACTCCAAACGTCGCAGCCCGGATTCAGCCCAGATTCGGGACACCTCCGATCAAGCTGAAACACGCACACAATGTTTTCCACCCTCTTGCGACGCGTGCTCGGCTTCACCTTCGGAATCGGACTCAGCTCCTGGATAATACCGCGGAGTGGAGTGATCTTGGTGACCTCCGAAGCTGGTTGTTGTGTTTCTGAGCGCCTTGCGTCACTTTCTTCAATTGCGGATGTGGACCCAGCCACATCCTGTAACAAATTAAAATGTTCGCCGTGGAATCTTCTTGATAAAAAGAGTTCAGTTCGGCACCTCACTGTATTTCTTGACTCGAGACAGACAAGAGATAGAGAGATAGAGACAGTCCAGGAGAGTGACCGAGAGCAAGGGAGACTGAGTCACATAGCGAGTGACCGAGCGCGAATCGTCGGTGGGCTGCCGAGACTCGGCAGAGACTGCCCAAGACTAAGACCGACCAAGACTGAGACCGAGACTGAGATTGTTTGTTTTCTTGGTTATTTAACGACGCATCAGTCAGACTTGACTATTAGCGTCGAGCCGACCCTGAGACTGACCACCCGGCGGCGGCCGGCGCAGTCGACGACTCTGAGTAGAGGTCGCCTCGGTCGTCGGTCGTACAAGCTCTGACATATGGCCTACAGCGGCTGACAATGTTACACATCCTCGAGCGGGTGATCCTCTGCGCGGCGCGCTCTGCCTTCACTGGCTGCGGTTGCAGTAGGAGCTGCAGCCTCGAGCTCTGCAGCCACGAAGTCGTCTTCCGTGACTACGGTCTCGTCCAACGGCCAGATTCCTGCCACGCGGAACCCGATCAGCTCTCGCGATCTAACGGCCTTCTCCGGGGCGGCCACCTTGTAAGTACGCTTTGCCGACGA